AGGATGTTTCTCCACTGAAGTTTGCTATCTGGATCTGCTTAGAGTTTGTAAAGGTTGTTTGGAGGAGGTGAATTCACCCGCATCCTCTGCAGTCCACTAGATTTATATGAAAGAAAGCAAGAAAGAGAGAGAGAGAGAGGGAGAGAGAGAGAAAGGGAGAAAGAGAGAGCTCTAAATGTCTAGTCCTTTTTGCAAAAAAAATAAAATAGAGACCAGGAGGCTGTTCATGCAGAATGTCTCTGCTATTGATCAGTTTATGCCTTTGGCTGGATCTTCAAGCTAAATATAGTTCTCAGTCACATAGCATGTCACATAGGTAAGCGGCATTTAGCTTCACACGCCTGTTTCTTTGACTTCTCAGAGACTTATGAAGTCYTGAGGATTTCTTTCTTGCTTCTTATCTAGGACTAAATCAGCTTGTCTTCCTTTGAGCCACGAACCACGATAGCCATTAGCACATGTCAAACAAGGATCACAGGTCCCTGTTGTCCCTTGACATCTCGGCAGCTACGAGGATTGCTAATTCCCAGCCTCTTGAAACAAACCTCTCCATCGCTCACAGTTTCTCAGAACGCAGCGGCGCTTTTGCCCAGTGGTTTGAGCAAATCTGATCATATTACTGTTGCCCTGCGTTCCTTACATTGTTCGTCAAGAATGCAGTGGATTGGTTTCAAGTTGGCACTCTCACACTTAAAAGGGACACTGTCAACAAATCACRGTCCTGTCTCGTTTTCTTTTAACCCATTGCTCTTGCAGCGCATAATTCAATGAGTAAAATAAAAGCCATCAGCGTATTTAGGAACAGGGCAGAATCACACACGCTACTCATTGCGTGATTGGTGATGTCGTCTTCCTTGGAACAGAATGGCCAGGATGAGGAATCCTGCAACAAATTTTCTATAAGGAAATGAAGAAAATAWGCATAGTGTTTATCTGAACACTTTCTCACGTACAGTCAAGCAGCTTTGCAAAGAGGAAGGTTGAAAACTTCGCAAAACAGGGAAACGAGACTGTCAGATGCCACAAACTGTCTGAGGACTTTGGGTCTAAGACATGACATGAAATTAGGTTGTTGACTTTTTCTCTTTTCTTTCAAAGTTACTACTGTTTCAACGTGTTAGGATCCACTCACAAAAATCACCCCAATGATTTTTCTTTCCTAGTTATTTTCAGCCCTTGCCCTCATGGAGGGTCACATATTTGTACCTCCACTTTTGGGTGATTCAGCTTCTACATTTCAGGCCAGTTATTATTCAGGATGTTGGTGCTGAGAGAATGGACCACATCACCCCTACAGCTGCTTCAGGCCATTTTCCCACGTAAGGAAACAAATACCTCAAGATTTCTCTGGTTCAAAAAACAAAACAAAACAGGTTCTTTTTGTTTTTGTTTTTTATTTTGTTTTTTTTTTTTTTTAACAAAACAGCTATTACTACTCTAATCATCACTTCCCCTTCCCCCCAGTCCTTTTTAATTTCTTTTCTTTTTAACTCAGTATTACCCATCCACAGTTTTGGTGGATTTAAAAATAATCACCATTTCAAAAGTACTTTCAGATTTTGCATRGAGATCCTATAGTGCTGGATTCAGTAAAGACCTTAAATAAGATGTCATTTCTGTCCCACAGAGTATTTTCATGGCATTTAAAGACTAACTGCCCACAAGCACCCTGCTACAAGCCCAAGCAAAGCACAAAGAAGTACAAGAGAGGACAGAAGTAGCACTGAAACATGGAATTTTCTGAATTTTGAACCTATTAAGAGTTACATGCTGCTATGTGCATGATAAAASTATAACAGAATTGCACAGAACATTACAACTACGTAGCCAGTACGCATAAGAGGTCAGAAGGGCTAGATTTCAGTAGTATGTAACTTGCTGCTGAACAGTCTTTACCAATTATCTCTACAACTCCAGGCTGAAAATCATGCCATTAAATTAAGACACATTCTACTTCCAGAACTCACTCCCGTATTCAAGTTTTATCCTAATTTAGCCAAAATGTAGCCTTAAGTAAATATTATATTGACCAGCAACACACTAGGCACACTACAAAGGCAGCCATAAAGCACAAGTTAATGACAGCTGGCCCTCTTCAAGGAGGCCAGACAAAGAAAAGAGCTGGAGCAACCGTGTAGCATCTGATAATTTAGAAAAAGCACAATCTCATAGAATGCAATTTTTGTACATTAATGAAGTAMTGAAACTGTACAATAAGCTTTAATGTCACCATTACTCTGGTTTCTTAATTGAATTCTGTCCCAACCCCTCCCACGATCCAAACAGAAATCTTAGAGGTGCTTTAATTCCACACTAACTCACAAGCTGTTATGCCTAACTAACCCAGAGGTGCTGACTCAGATGTGGACAGCAATTCAGTCTGGGCTATAATCTGTCAAACTGAAACAAGGAAGCCAGGCTCATTTGCTTTGATGGCYGATAGTCTTCCAGTCCTCCTTCTTCCATTCCCTTATATGATCCTGTCCCAACACTGCTGATCCTGTCCCAACACTAAGAGGTCATTTTGGAGTATATCAGTCCAAAGAACATTAGGATGAATTCAAAATTTCAGGAAAACTATAAGAAGACATTACTGACCACCGAGCCACATCTCTCAGACTGAGCCAGGTGTTCAGACGTGCACACAGATCATTTAGGCTAGAAGCAYAGGGAAAAAAATAAATAAAAATCAAGCTTCGGTCATTAAAAAGTAGTTTCTTCCTCAAGTTTTGCCATATTTTGTTGTGTAATACAGCAGCCCTAAGAAGCATTCCAGCAACTGCTCATGACCTCTTTACAGCAGCCTTTTCAAGTGAGCAGATTTTTCATTTTTTCTGCAATTAGTAGCAGAGATTTTCAGCTTATAACTGCTTCTTCCCTAAGTACTTTTTTAAAGATTCTTTTAAATGAGAATTTTAATTACTGAGAACTGAGATGTTTGATTAGAAAGGGGAGAGGAGAAAATCCACAGTAACCTGCTGTCAGAGCTTTACAGATCAAACTGCCTTGAGCACAAATTCCAGTGGTTTAGGTTCCTGCTGCCTCCAAAGTGTTTATGTGAAACGTGTGTTTTCCCGTTGTGCTGCAGTGATTGTTTGGTCAGACTGGGTGATGGATGGCGGAGAAGATTGTGTCTGGAAATATGCTCCAAAGTTGACAGGAAGCTGAGGAAGCCCTTGCCAGCACTTCCTTCCTTTATACAAGGGGAGAACAGAATGGGAAAATATGTGGCTGTCTCTTACCCTGAGAAAAATGCTACCCTTCCAGCTGGATTACAGTAACAATATTTTAATCTTCTACAAGATTATAATATCCTTCCTCTCTAACTATAGTTACAGCAGTAACAAGGACTGAGTAATGAAACAACCTAAATCTAAAACTAATTAGGGAGCTGCAGGAGTTGGTGCTGGAAAGCAAGCGCAGACAGAAACCTGAAGAACTACCTTCAGTCAAGATACAAAACTGCAGTGGATCAGATCTGTCTCATCCAGGACCTTGACTTCAAGAGTAACTGGCAATAAGCACTTCAGAGAAAGATGTGAAATCCATAGCAGTTGTATGCTGAAAATGCATCCCTCTTGACAGGTTCAATCTACTGTCTGTTTCTCAGAGAATAGATTTAAACTCAAGCTTCAATATTTAACATCTCTACAAAAATTATGTTGCAATAAGCAAATCTGGGAGTACTGTGGTCATCTGATCTACACATTTCTCATGAGCATCCAGGATAGTTTGTGTTAGAGACTTTCCTACTCTAAAATCTCTTTTTTTGAAGATCCTGCTTCTGAGTCCTTTTGTTGATGATTCACTAATCTGCATGACATCCTGCCAGGTAATCATGGGAATGCGGTCACAGGAATAAAAACATGTGCAGAATATTAAAGACTGGAAATTCTCTCTCCTCAACCCTGTGGTCAGCTGGGCAGTGTGGAAAATAACAGATGATACCTTTCTCTTCCATGCTGCCACAAGAGTTTTCCTACAGATTTCCATTCTTGAGCTCCCAGATTCAAGAGCAAGATAGAAAGGCATTCAGAGTCCCAAATCTGCCATCTCACTCTGTCTACAACAATATGGATTGTGATAATGAGTCAGTAGGGCACAAGACTGGTGTCTAAGTGAGGACTGCTTGCTTTCCTTGCTATCCCAGCAATCCACTAGTCTAACACTACCCTCCAGCAAACAGTCTGGAGGAGTTTGCCCAAATGAGTCGGAAAAAGAGAAGAACTCGAATGTCTCTTGACAATAAAATAAACAAATAAAATTTGGGTGGACAGTTCTCATAGCAGCTTCTAATTCTGAAAAAGGAATTGGACAAGGTGACCTCACACATAAACCAAGAGGGAAGAACAAAGCCCTTCCTACATCCAGGAAAGCACACAGCTGAGCAAGAGCTTGGGATACTGTTTGGCATTACATTTGGATTACATGTCCCTCAGGCTCTTCACCCTTGCAGAAACTGCCAGAAGTAATGGGTGTTACTGAATGCCAATAACCAAAGATGGGAAAGGAAGAGAGGAAAATTTTGGCATGACCGAGCCAGAGTAAGTAATAAAATCTTGTCCATTCAATCTCCATCCCAAGAACCCTGACACAAACTTCATGGGACAAAACATGACAACGGTACGTGTGTGCATTTTCCCCATGTCTTTTTACAGGGTAAGGCAATTAGAGAGGAAAACTCACAGATAAAATCTGAATGAATTGTGAAATATACTATAATAAGAATCATTTGCTTTTTTTTGAGTAKGTAGGAAGTTATAAAAAGGAATTATAAACACTTTCAGTCTGGAATGTAATTCTAAGAATTCTGATATCTAGATGCAGTTCTTGGAAACCTAAAAGATGTCACCTTCATGGCATCCCATTTACCAAAGATTTCATAGCTTTTGCTCTGTTTGTGACTTACTCTTCAGTAGAAGCTAGGAAAAAAAAAAAAAGAAAACCAAACACGCTGAATGAAGAGATGCATGAATATCTGAACAAGTGAAAAAACTCACCACCAGGCTGATCACTCTCCTGACTCATCCTCTCTAGGATGGCACCAAGTCAGAATGTTGAGCTTAAAGGTCTACAGCTCAAAGTCAGTAGCCAAAGCTGAAAAGGAAAAAAAAAAAAACCACATAGTTACTAATATTACTAATATGCTACAGGAACTTCATCTGGTGTGACAAAGGAAATAACCTTGTGTATGGTTTATCAGGTGTTGGTGTCTAAGCAAGTCAGTGCAGGAACTGTATAAACATACAACATTGCGCAGAGATGACGTAGACTACATGTAAGTCAAAGACTACATGGGGATTTGCTGAACCAAATCAACCAAGAAACCCTGAGAAATGGTACCTGAAACCTTACACAAGTCATTATATGTTGTTAAAACTACATCTAGCTTTCTGGAATAGTGCATGATTAACTGACAGATCTTAAATTAAGATGCAGGATTCTTTAAAGTTGTTTATTTGCCTACATGACAAAACCTAAGAGCAGACCTGTGCAACCTTCAAAGCATCTCCAAAGCAGACAAACAATCCACATTTTTGCCGCAGTTAAACAGCTCTTTCTCTTTGTTTGCTCATCCTTCCACTCATCCCATCTTGACTGTGGTAGAGTTGGGAACATACTCCAGGTCTCAAAAATCCCAATCCAATGCCTTAAACCACAACATCCTTCCTGCTGAATCATATTGCAGAATTGTTTATCAGGAAGGAAATTCCCCCTTGAGAGTACTCACACTGAGTATGCTGGTAGAACACAAATGCTTAGAAAAATATAAATGTACTGGGGAAAACAACAAGTGATTTGAGTCACTGTCCAACACACTGAAGTTACACATCAGATACACTGTGTTGGGTCTTGTCAGTGTTAGTAATGTCGGGAAAAGCACCAAATAGGATATTGTATGGACCCAACAATACATCTGTATGTGGTCTCATGCTCTTCAACACATGACAACTTGGAAAATCTCTCTCTCAGGTTTAGCATTAGGTATACATGGGCCTGAGAGGGACACTGAAAAGGGACAGCATCTTCAGTAGCAACACACTTGAAGTTGCTGACTGCAAGCAGTGCAAGTATGATCTATGTCAGAATTAACCTCAACATGTCATACAAGCCGTATCTTCTTTAAGGGAAGAAAAACAAAGATGCAGGGGAGGCACAATGAAGGACACAAAAAGTGGAACAAATATTTAAGCCAAACACCATTTATCCCATTAGTCTTGAGAAAACACAAAGGGTTGTAATTCAGCTGTGATAAGTTGAAGAACAAAAAGCCACTGAAACAGCAAGTTCATGGTCTGGGACTCAGAGGAATTTGGCTCCGTTCAGTAGTTGGGTGAAGGCGAARAATTTCCTCCCTTGCAAGCAACAGCTTTTCAGGTTGCATCCCAAGGGGCCTCTGCCACAGTAACTGTCGCAAACTCACATTTGGGCAGCTTCCCAGAAGAAATCTCTGACGAGATTTCTTTTGCAGACCTCAACTGTTACTGCATAGAAACTCCACAAGGACTGGCTTCTGAGGGACACAGGAATAAAACCCATACCCTCAATCATGAAGTCCTGGGGTCAGATTCATCAATCTAGAGCAGCTTTTGCCTGACATATCAGATATGYCTATCCGTCACCACAAAGCAGCCTCAAATCAGCCTGGAGCAAGTCATGCTCTGCCTCTGGGCATGTCAGACAGCCAAGGGCCAGGCGAGCCCATGAGCGCACACAGACAGGCTCTCCTGAAGATACCAGTCCCACTGGAAGGCCCGTCACCTCCGCAGCAGAGCGTGATCTGAGGGCAGCCATCATTCACACTGCAATGCTTACCTCAACTTCTGCTCCCCACAACTATTTCCTCCGTTAGCTCATTAAAGCCCAACTTCCAGATCCCACCAGAACCTTCTTAGATGAGCTGCAGAGAGTATTGTGCACTCCCAAACACAGTGAAGAGAAAAAGGCACCTTTAGGGAGTTGACCTGAAGCAGATGTCTCGGGTCTATACATTTAACGCTGACTCTTGCTAATCTTGGTTACTACCTCATGCGATGGCATCTGTGGCTAGCTGAATGCCACTCTCTGCCATTGCTTTACACCACACCTGGACATAATGGCCCTGCTGTCCCCTTAGCACCTTAAGAAACAGCCAGAAACAGTCAGGCAAAGTACCAATATTAAATCAGAGATTGCTCTATTTTCTTTACCCCAATGAGGAACATTGCCTTTTTTAACATCACAGTAGAGTAACTTAGGAATTAATGTTAAAAGCAGTTCAAATGTTCTTCATTAGAAGGGCTTCATTCTTTACATATGCTAATTTTGCAATCAGGCTCAAGCTTGCTTGCTTTTTTCCCCTCTATTAGGTCAACCTAACCTAAGATCCAAGTGGAGTGCATTCAGAGGGAGAACATTACTGCACATTTTCAATACTGCATGACGTTCTCATCAGTACACAGCATTGAATGATGGCAGATAATCTTGGTCATGGATTCGTTCTGCTTGATTCGAAGTTTTCTTCTTGAGAAAACCTGCACGAGTAGCTAAACAAAAAGAGTTCTGCAAGGAGGAGCTGCTGCATTGAAGAGCAGCTGTTGTTACCATTGAGCTCTTGTTTTAGGGACATGAGCACCCACCTATTTGCTTCCTATTTAAAGCAAAAACGAGTTAATGCCTGTAACCAGTCACCCTGAGTAAGGCGGGTGGTCTGAAGCAAAACGAATGCTCACTTGTCAAATCCATGAGAGTGTCCACCACCTCCCCTGCTTACAACCACCTCAAGGGTAAAAGCAACAGCCAGGTGGGTGGGAAGGCTTTTTAATCTGGCACACAGGGTTCACAGTGCTGTGTCCTTACCTGCAGCCAACACTCCAGCAAACACCAGACACGGAACTGAAGGTCCCCATCAGTTCCGGTTTCCTTTTGAGCGTTTTCAGTTCAAGCGGGACCATTACAATGCTGGAACATTGCAAGCCTCGCCAAGTAGGCTAGGAAATCTCCCTTCTRTTTTCACAACCCTCTTGTCAATTCCTGCAATGCTGTCTCAAGTCTTGCAGGAAGGGTTTTTTTCTTGAAGCTCATCCACCTGCTGGATTGAAGAAACTGCATAAAGACCATCTCTCTGATAGAGATTTAAAAAGTTTCTATTCCACTTGGCTATGGAGAGAGATTTGAAAATGCAAAGTGAGAGTAATCTGAAGCTTTAGAAACAAGATGACAACTACTAGGAAGCAATGCTTGTTTCTGTTCACTTCAAGACTGACTTCTAAACTGATTTCACATCTTTGCAACCTCTCATTCCTCTATCCTTACAGCATGCACAGGCATACAGAGAACAGATGCCCAGCATCACAGATTCCTCTCCAGAGAAAATGTAGGAATAGTGAGACAGAAGCCCTAACAAAAGCATTTGCCAAGTCCACTGATGCCTTTTCAYTGAATTTTGTAGATTTGGGATCCTGTTATCCTGAGACCAGATTTGGCTTTTAGGATCCCCCATCCACCACAAACCCAGCAACACCTATCCCATTCTTCACAAGGCACTGGCTGAATGACACCACCCAAAATCTCTGTGCTCCATGTTTATATTTATATTATCCCAGACTTCACGTTGTCACGTATCATTACCTACCGAGACTATTTACAAGCAATTCCAATAGCCAGTGGTACTCCAAGGTGGAATCAAGTTACACATATTGCATCTCTCTTTGCAGAAAAGGTTAAAAAGCAAATGGCAATTCCAAATATTTTTATATAGTCATTTCTTTATCATATAAGCCTTCAAACTACCCAGAAATTAAAGCCTCATTTCTCTTTGGAAGGAGTACAAAAAAAAAGCATCAATTTCATCAAAAACAACTAACATTAAAAAAGCAGTAGAAGCTGCCAGGCAGTGCCGGCAAGCACAGTATCTTAATYCTGCACTTTGTTACTAATGGCCTGAAATGAGCAGATCTCCACTGGACTGCAATGGGCTGTCCACCAAGCTCCCTTCTGACCCATCTGGACATGGCCTAACATACTGATGAAGAGCAGTGCAACCAAAGCCAACACCAAGTGTGGACAAGMCCATACAGCTCAAAGCCACCTTCTATGTTTCTCAGGCGTCTTTGGTTTACACACTTCATTTTAATAAGGAAAATCTTATTTCTCTGCATCAGTTTAATGCAATAGTCATAGTACGATAATTCATTCATGATAATTTAAGACTGTGGATTACCATTAGTGGTATAATAAGATTCTGTTGAACATCTGAAGGCTCAAAACAGGACAAATACAGAAGAAATCAGCAGTTAGTCTTCTCTAAGGCTACTTCCTTTGCCTCATTCGGTCTGTCACTGAAACTAGAGATTGGCCGACAAACATCAACAGATGTCCATCAAAACCTATTGCATTACCAAGGCTACCACCTTCAGCACTGTGAAACTAGCCAGCTCAAAAAGCATGTATTTTTAATGGAAGTTCCTGTCCAAGTCAGTAACATCAATAATAACCAAACTGTGTGACATCAAAGGSATAAACAACATCTGAAACATGTGAGAAAGCCCTGTACACCAGGAAACATTTCTTCCTGCAAGCATGCAGAGCATACAGCACATCACAGGCATCAACCAGATACCAATTATAACACAACCATAGTACGTTGGTGTTAATCAACTACGTGAAGCAATATGCAAAAGCCAGGAGTTCAYGTCTAGTCTTTCATAATCTCTAGCTGACCATGCACATTACAAGACAACAGCTAATTTCTGTRTATTTTACTCAAGACAACAGAGTTGACCCTACATGATAAAGGCAGTGACTTTAAAAGGCTGGGCCACCACTTCCCCGTCTGGCCAGGATAAACAGCTTACCAGCAGTGTCCAACCAAAGCGAATGCAGTCCGYAGTATTTTGCTCAATTTGCAGGGGTACATCAGGGAAGGTTTATTCCAGAAAAYGGGCAAAAACAACCCAATGGCCTGCAATGGGATGAATTTTGCTTTCCAAAGAAGGAGAGAAAAAGAAAGGGGAGGGAGMAAAATTTCACAGCTTGGATTTGAGTTTCTGAAAACACAAGAAGAATTCATGATTTCTGCCTCAAAGCTATACGAATTGTGGTAGTCCATGACTCCT